TTATTTATACATATAAAAGTTTAAATTAAAGAATGTTTTCTTTGATTAATTGTTACAAATTATGAACTTCCCTTCCTATGTAAATGAACGGAAAAGAATACCAGACCATTGAAACCTCAACTGAAACTTGCGTGAAGCAAATGAACCATCGTAAGATAAACCATTTAGGCTTTCCAGCTTTGGCAAATCTGTCTTCGTGCTCTCGTCATTCTTGCAAAAAAAAAACCATCGCACTTTTAAACTATCGCGCAACGGACAATTCGTGAAAGAAAACCGTCGCGCATTATAGCTTCGCAACAACCGTATTCGCACTATGGTTATTCGCGTAATCGGCATTCGCAATAACGTGGGAGACCCGTTGTGAGTGTCTATTTATGAGTACACTAGCTAATAGTAATAAATAGTAAATTAGTAATTTTGAATGCTTATAAATTTTTGTTATGTAATTTTGTTTTGTAGGAGTTACTTTTCCTAGGAATAAATTTTAGTGTCCTAAGTGTGGTTTATCAATGATGCATTGAACTTTATACACATTACTTAGAAGCAAGAAAGAATAAAAGCTAATTGTATAATTTGTCACTTTTAAACGTCATAGGGAAGTATCGTGAGCAACGAGTGACTCACTAAAGGATTGAACATATGATTTATCCCGATCACTTTACGCAAGGGCCATGATCGTCTCTGGTTATCAGAAATTATCGACCGACTCAGGTCTAGTTCATATACGTTATTGTTTTTAAACTTTCATTTCAAACTACTTGCTTTCAGGTGGACAGCAATCGAAAATGTCACAAAAACTCAGTATTGTGTGGAGTGTTTAAAAACAAAATCTTCGTACAGATTTAGGGTATTTGCAGTGAACGAAGTCGGTGTTAGTGAATCTTCACAATTGACAGATTACATAAAAATAGAGAAAGTATCAAAGACCCAACCACCGACAGTAGAAAAACCCTTAAAAAATCTCATTGGAGAACCAAACGAAGACCTAGAACTCATCTGTATATTCGGGGGTATTCCACAACCAAAGGTAACTTGGTGGAAAGATGGAAAGAAACTCAAAACTGCAAAGGCTACTTACGAAAACAGGGTAGCTACTCTGGTAGTAACTGCAATGGAAACTTCAGAAGGTGAATACAAATGTACAGCTACAAATGAATACGGTGAAGTCGAAACATCCTGCTCCTTATTAGTGCAACTGAAACCAGTTATCAAGGTACCAGAAGAACAAATAAACCAAAAACGCAAAGTGGGTGAACAATGGTCAGTGACAGCTACTGTTGATGGAATACCTAAACCAGATATTATATGGTATAAAAATGGTTCTAGAATAGAAAAGTCGAAGGACATACAGATAGTAACAGAAAAACAGATAAGCACTATAACAATTACAGAACTACAGCGATCACATTCATGTAAATACACAATTGAAGCCAGTAATAAATCTGGGACTAGTTCTCTAGAACTCTCACTAAAAGTATACGGTAAGTTCTTTTTTGTTACCCTGATGTAAAACATATAGTCTCATATTTAGTACGAGATATAGAGAACGCTATATTAAACTAAGGTACGGTAAGGCGTGTTTGTTTTCAATACTCGACGTCATAATAAATGATTCGGAAATAAACTCATAGTACGGTTTCCAAATTTCTGTCTACTGATTAATTTAATAATTCCTTTAATAATAATCTCTCATTACAGACAAACCTAGTAAACCTGAGGGACCAATGATAATGCGCGAAATCAGCAGGGAATCTGTAACAATCGAATGGAAACCACCGACTGATGATGGAGGTCTAGAATTAACAAAATATGCCATAGAGAAACATGAACCTGAAATTGATCGGTGGATTAAAGTGGCTGACGTCAATAGAGACGTCGAGACATATTGTATACAAAAACTAAATGAAAACTTCGAATACATGTTCCGAGTTATGGCACAAAATCCAATTGGTTTCTCGGAAGCTTTGGAAAGTGAACCTATCATAATAAAAACAGCTCTTGGTAAGTAATTTGAAATTTTAAGAACGATTGTAAGTACTTATTCAAAACCGTTATTGTTGTGCTTATTGTTTAAAAACGTTTCTCTTACAGATGTTCCATCGCCACCTCTTGGTCCACTTAGATTTTATGGAATTGACAACGAGTGTGTAACTGTAACATGGTATCCTTCAGAAAAGAATGGAGGGTCACCTATTTTAGATTATCGTGTTCAAATCAAACAAGAGGGCAAGAAATGGAAAGATACAGCTATAGTTTCAGAAACTTCAGCTAAGATAGACAAGCTCGCAATCAATACAACATACCAATTTAGGATATTTGCTAGAAATGAAATCGGAACTAGCGAAGCGTATGAATCCGATGAGAAGATAACTATCGGTAAAACGTTATGTGAGTATTTTAATTTAAGATTGCAAAAAAAACCGACCTCAAAATCACATGGAATTACGTCTATTTGCTAAGTTTTATTCAAATATCCCCTAGTTCGCCACTATACGGGACTTGACACAAGAGATAATAAAAATCGGTTCTCACTACTCAAAGTATATTGAGAGAGAAAAACGCCTTGAAATACCAACCATTAAAATAATTGCTCCTTAAGGAAAATTTAGGCGCTATTTATAAAAATGAATGTTCATGCATGATCAGCCACCCTTAGAGGTGGATGATTTTCTTCAAAATGAACTGGGTCCACTATGGAGGTACCCTCTTTCCAACAAAAAGAAAAGAATCATGAACATCGGTTCAAAAATACCGGAGTTACTGCGTAACATACATTCAAAAAAAAACATACAGTCGAATTGAGAACCTCCTTATTTTGAAGTCGGTTAAAACAAACAACAAATCAGTTAAGATTGCATAAAAAAACGTTACTATTACTTATTTCTTCAGCACCGCCGTCCAAACCCAGAAATTTCGTAGTGCGAGAAACCACATCTAGGACCGTTACACTCCAATGGATAGCACCAGAAAGTGATGGTGGTAGTGTTATTACAAGTAAGTTGTATATGGTATATTCTTCAAAGCGATACTCGTTGTTCATTTACGTTACTTGAATATTATCGTGCTCGTTTTTAGATTATATCATCGAATACAAGACTGTGAAAGGTAAATCATGGACCAAGATAATAACTGTCAATGGTTCGGTTTACGAACACTGCGTAGAGAATATTAAAGAAAAGGAAGAGCTGGTGTTCAGAATATCTGCTGAAAACGCAATTGGTGTTAGCTTGCCTGCCGAATCTCAATCCGTTCGACTAGAGAAGCATGCAAGTAAGTTTCAAACATTGCAAAAACTATAATTAATGTAGGTACAGGTATTCTTTACTTGAGTTATGAAAACCAAAATAATAATATACGGATTATATTATATAGATAAGTTAGAAAGGATACAAAAAAATCGAATAATTTTCAGCCGTGCCATCACCACCGACCGCTCCATTGGAAATACGAACTGTGGGTAACAACATTGTGATGACATCCTGGGGCACCCCTGAATGGGACGGAGGGGCTCCTCTTCTCGGCTACAACATTGCTATTCGTGACGTTACTAAGACTATGTGGATGGAAGTTGGCAAAGTCGACGCACACACCCTCAAATTCAACATTAGGGACTTAAATGAGAACCATACCTATATGATAAGGATATATGCTCGCAATGAAATAGGGGTCAGTGAGCCTTTGGAATCTTATGAACCTTTCAAGGTTATTCCTGGTGAAGGTACGTATATCCATTTAGCAATTGTCGTATTATATAAAATGGTATAGCTATGTACCATTTTATATAGGATGAATGTGACGAAAATGTTTAATTGTCCTACTAGCTGTACGTACACACTGTTCACACGTTATCCGTGTCATAGATTCACATGCTGACGAGGAGCCCGGCGAGCACACAGAGATGACTGAACCGACCTCGTTCAGTACTCAGACTACTACGTCCTGGCTACGTGAACACAACATGGACGCCGACATTCGGTCGTACGCACGCAGCAAATTGCTCCGGCGTGATGAGTACTTCTTCAAGATATGGCACTACGCTAAACAACTATTCAAGTGATGCAACGAGCACACCCACAAACTATTACCTGTGATATTTATCAACAAAATTATTTATTGTTCATATAGTTGGCGGATAGTAACATTTAGTCATACCTGCCTACAATTTATTAAAGGACTAGACAGTGTGTCCAACCCCGAACTCATAGTTTTATAATTTTTAATACGATTTTTATACCAATTGTAGTAATTATTTGAGATATTTATTCTAGTTAAGAATTTATTTATTTGTAAAATTTAAAGATATATAGATAATCTAAAGTTTGATTACGTTTGAGTTTCATTCAATATGTAAAGGGAGACATTTTAATATAGGTGCAAAATAATTATTCGATAAATTGAATGAGCTCGAATACAAAATCAGACTTTATTTGCAATTTAACGCATAATAAATATAATAATAAAAATTGTGTTTCTGTCATAACACCTGAATTCCTTCTACTACAATATTAAGTACTCAATCTGAAATAGGTGAGAACCACCAAACATATCAAAAATGTTCTGAGGGCAAGTTCATTTTTTCGGCTTATCGTCAAGTTCACTTAATTAAGAATTTTTTCCTCAATATTGATGTGAAACTCCTTACTTAATCTTTTTTCAATGTAGGTTGCACTTTCTGGTTTATATAATATTTTTTTATTTAATTTTATTGATTGAATGAAAATGTGCCTCTATTTTAAAGGTATAATTACATCAACCCGAAGCGTCTGTAATTGGCCATCATTTGGCGATGGACCGGCTTCGATAAAAGGTCTGGTCGTCCACGAAGGCCTTTTGTCATGTTAACATTTTCACTGCGGAAGTGCGGTCGTTAGTTGTATTGACTCCATTTATACAATTCTTGTGCTGCATTAGCACATCGAAACTATATTTATTTTCTTTCTAGTTCATTCAAAACAGAACTAAAGACGCTTGAGACAAAATAAAATAACGTTCTGTTATGTATTACTTATTTATTTTAATATCAAACTTTGGACTTATAGATGACATTAAAAGTAATCGTTCCTACTTAATATTCAATCACATAATTCAATAATAGAGATTTAGATTGTATGAAATCGATGCTAATTGATGTCATAGAAGTGTAACTTGAAATTAACAGATAATTAATTTACTCGTCGCTATTTTGGCACTATTAAGATACATAAATTAATCTATACCACTGAACAAACATCATTTCAATAAACAAATATTAAGTCTAAACACAATTTGTCCCGCAAGAACTTTACTGACGATTTCGGTGACCTGAAATTAAAAAATATGTTTATGTAAAGGGGTAAGTGTCTTCAAGGAACTTAAGCAGTAAGTGTAGAAAAGATCATTCATACCCTTGTCTTTAGTGGCTTTCACTTGTTTGTTCTTGTTACATTTTTTAGTCATACGCCTACTTTGATCGCAAGCCGGGTCACTATTCGCCTTCAACTTATCAACTCTGGACATTTCTCCATCAGCACTGCATTCACTCCAAGACGATTTTTCATAGCGGCAAGCTGTGTATGGTACAAAATATCATATAAAAGTTGAAAAAAAAAGTAATTGTAAGCACCTAACTACCTATTTACTAACGGACAAACAATAGAAAATGCTAAAATACTTCCTTTTTCATTATAACACGGATGGGTCAGTAAGCAATCAGATGTTTAAAAAAGTTTTCACAGTACATATCAAACCAATCAAATGCAATATAATACACAAATACACAAATAACTAATGAGATATTAGGATAAGTATTATAAAAACTTACGCTTCTTGCATTTTTTCTGAATAGTCTTTGTTCGCTCACAAGTACTGGGATCCCCTTTCTTGAGCGTCAGGGTGCGGAAACGGAAGTTGGTTTTGAAATCACACTCGGACCATGCACCTCTTGAGTAGCGACAAGTTTCTCCTAGGAATTTAAAAGTAGACTCAATATGTATTCCCAACAAAACATGTATAGACGATATATATGTACAAGAGTCAAAAATACAGTTCATCATAATAGAGTTTTAAGACATTGCCGTTCTCGTTTCTTGAGAAATCCCACACCAGACGACATGCACATGAAATATGCACGAGTCAAAAAAAATACAGTTCGTCACAGTAAAGTTTTAACACATTACCGTCCTTGTTTCTTGTGAAATTCTACCCCAGACAATGTGCACATGTTCACCATTCAGTCTACAGATTTATTTTCAGCACTTTGAAAATAGATGTCCAAAAAAAGAAACTTAATACGAAGATAACAAAGGCAGGAGTGTTTTAAAAAAAACGTAGATATTCCATTAAATTTATTCTTAGAGGATGCAACATTTATTACGCTCACCGTGTTTCAAAGCTTCCAAATTGGAAAAAAATGGTAAATATGTGAGCAAAACGTATAAAATGCCCGATGCATGTTATTGCAAGTCTCGTTTTGCTGTGCAATATACAAGTATACATAATATAGTCAATTTAAAAGGGCTACTAACTTTTTATGAGTTACCGCGTGAAGCGATGAGTTTCGCTGACTAAAAATATGTACTAACCTTTATTTTTAGCACCCCTCTCACTGCGGATAAGGACCTCGTGATCGCTCTCCTCCCACACTTCTCCAGAAGCCACAGCAATCGAAAAGACGAATAACCCCGCAAGAAGCCACCACCAGTGCTTGTTCTACAACCGCAAAAAAAATCTCTTTCAGTTTTACAATTATGCTGTCTATTTAGGAAACAATGCCTAGTCGATAATTTAATGTTTATGAAAATTGTACAATTCACTTGGCAAATATATTGGTTGATAGTAGAAATCGCTGTGCTCAATGAAATAAACACTACGTTTTGTTGTGCAGCGAGTTATGTCTGCTTTATACCCGATAATTATACTTGTACTGATATGGAAGCTGCGGGGCCAGTCAATGACTTTAATTATTGTCTTCGTAAGAAGCGCCTGTGCTAAAATTAACTTGATCTTTTCGCAGGTCATTTGTCCCTGGTCCCGCAACGATTACGCAATATAGTAAATACACTAGTGTACCTTTGAAACAAATCGATGACTACTGTAATAATTTGGATTTTCTGCAGGTATGTAGCTTATGCTACAGTTCCACAAGTATATTCCTCTTTTTTCTCTTTTAAGTAGGTAGGTGCTTAAGCAAACCAATATACTTGTATCAATGTATTATTATTCTGAACCTATAACGATAACTTTACAACATTGTAATCAGTCATCATCATTATCTTTAATTACAAAATTCATTAAAATGTGTTGCATATAATATTAAAGTCAACGTATTTTTGTATTTTGTATTAATTTCGTTTAAGTTTAGGTATTGATGATAGAGGAACCACCTAAATATGCATATCTCCAACAATAGCACATAATGTCATAATGTGTTCATACGTAATCAAATAAATGTATTTCCTTTCTTTCTTTCTAATCAAAAATAGGTAGATATTTGTTTAAATTTGATCAGAGTTTTCCACCTTACTATCCGGATAGAACCCGGTACCCGGGTAAAATAAAAACTGCAACTCAAGTACAATATAGGCCCTGGTTTTGAATGACGAGAGAATTAAAATACCGCCATTCATCATGAATAACATCACCAATGAACATAACTTCATGGATATCTACCTGTTTAAGAAAACAACACAGTGGAATAATACACAAAGGATAGGTAGTTTAACTAAAGTCAGATTTACAGCCGGTAGTTTAAAAACTGTTTAGTTTACCACGTTAAACGGATGATTACGCTTACATATCTCTCTAAAACGTACCAATTTTTGAACGAACAAGACAAAACAGCGTTAATGAGCATGACAATCCAGAGAAAGGAAGTACATAAAATTGAAGGAAGCGCATCGGGCGAGAGAGAGATGGGGTAAATTGCAAAGGTTAATAAAACAGGCGCAATCAACAACGCCGCCGCCCCGCCGCCCCGTGTCGGACAACTACCGGGCGCGCACACTAACAAAACCCTTCCCTCCCACCCCGAACCGCGCTGATTGTAGCTGGATGCTGCGCACTAATTTACCAGAACCATGTATATGTTATGTAACAAAGTCAGTACCAAATATTACTAAGCTAATCAAAAAATGAATAAAATATCACAAGAAATTATGTTTATGAAGTAACGTTGTCATTGAGCACAAATGAATTCACAAATTTTTTAAGTCGCTAATCTTAGCATTTCATTTGGAAAAAAGCCGTTTAAGTAAAATATTTTCTTAATAGGTTTAAAATAAAGGAAACTTAATAATCACTTAAACCAAAATAATCGCTTAAAAGTGATTACCAAAAATCACAACTTTCACATGTATTTTATATCACATTATTCACATAAGTAGTAGATTTCTACCTAAAAGAATTATTCAGTCAATTGTTTGTGAATCACAAGAACAAATAAATAATAAAAATAAAAACAACACAAGCCATCTACAGTAAGTACTTACCTCCATCTCGAAAGATAAATCGGTGATACGGGTGCAGGTACGGCTGTGGCTAAGCAGCGTGTTTACAGACCGAAGAGCGAGAGGCAAGTGGCGCGGCGCCATGCGCCACCGCGGCCGCGCCCCGCGGTTCCGGAGAGACAGGACGCTTGCCTATTGATCTGCTTGCCTTGCACCCGGGAGAACTCCTGTGCCCCATACGCACGTTCCCCCTCTCATTCCGCACGATCTCTCTATCTGCGGTTAGGCAAGATTTATTGCTCTTTCCGGGAATGACCGGATTTCCTGGTATGAAATGACGTCACATTTTTTTGCAGCGAAGTGGCAATTAGCTTTGTATTCTGAAAATTCTACAGATTTCAGGAGGCCTACCACCTTGTACTATCCGCTTTATTAAATTTATAAATACTTTATTTTCATTGTACTATCCCATTTTAAAACGAATAATATAAATTTTAGCTTCCTTGGTACCTTTAAAAAAAATGCTAAATGAATTTTCAGATTTATACAATTTCAATTCAATCACAATAAAATCACCTCATCCAAACCTACATAGTCTCTCGACCACTTGCACAGTCAGGCCTTAAATTTTCTCCGCAGATTTACGACGATTTGAGATCGATAAGATTAAATATAGGAATACCTACCCAGATTGATTTCTAATAACATTAGTGTGTACATTGGTTTTGGATGAAAATAGATACAATTTGGATGCAATTGTACAAATCAACTGTCTTAATTATTACAATACGGAAAGTAGAAGCAAAACCACAACGATTTTTTCCGATGTTACTGCGTCTATTCATGTAATTTTTTACTTTTGGATAATCTACTCAAGCGTCATGCAATCATTACTGGACGATTTGAAAACGACTTTCGTTAAAACACTGTATTGTATTGGATGCCTTTTTCTCATAGATGCCGTAAAATTATTTAGATAATCCAAAGCTCCAGCAAAACTCAATCAGAATAATCAGTGACATCCAAAGAAGACAATCCGCATTTTTTTGTGAAATTATGGGGTATAATCGTTTATTTTTAATTACTTTATGTAGTATACAAAAAGAAGGATAACTTAAAAAAACCAGAGAGTAACAAGGACAAGCCAATAGTGCGAAGAAAGAGACAGCAAAAAAACCAGTTATAAGCAAGGTCTAACGATAAAATTATGCCACTGCTTATATTGCTTATTAAATTATGAATAAAATTATTTAAATTAAATTTAAATTATTTAGTAATAAAAAAAAGATAAAAAACTTTTTAATATGAAATTTGATCCATAAAGTTGATGAACATTTTATGGTTACGCTTCTAAAATGGTCATTATTTTATGACATTTAATGGACCTACAAATTATTGAAGATTTGGCTTGATGGATTTGTTCTGATACCCTAAAACCCATTCACAGGCTGGAAAAAATCAATGAGACATGAAGTGGAAGTACCTTAAATGTTTAAGAAATTAAATTTTACCTAAGGGAAACATTCATTTATTTTTTTAATATGAATAAAAAATAACAACGGCAATGAACAGCATCCACAGATTTATTGAAGATTTTTTGGGCTGGGAATAAACCAACCACTTAAAAATACAAAATAAACACTCGCTATTTTGTTGTACTAATTTATAGGGTCAAATGGGGTCAATGATAAGTTTAATATCCCTCCAATAAACATTAGGTCATACAATTAAAGACGTCCATGATATCTTAGTCTTATGAGACTGTCGAAGAGTTAAGGGTTAAGGTACGAAATATTATTATTTATAAGCACCCACCTACATAAGCTTTTCAGAAAAATCTGTGAATGCAATTATTCATGTTAAGAAAAATAAAAGACGTTTTCTTTACGTAAAATTAGCTTTGAAGCATTTTAGCCCTATTGGTTTTTTTCCGACCTATATAACAAAAATGTATTTATTAATCAATTCATAAAGTAATGAAAAAATATTTTTATCATTATTTATAAATTAATTATTTATGAATTAAACAATGCATAAATTAATTATTTATAAATTATGTAATTGAATTTGTTAATAACGAATGATTTAGCCTAATAATTAGATATTATTTTTAGGTGTGACATTTCATTTAATGCACATGTGACATGGCAAATAAAGCCTTTTGTATTATAGCTCCAGCTCACACTTTTAACAAGCTCGAGTTTGGTTATCTTATTTGGATTCGCTCACAAAACTGTGCTGAGCACCGAAATTAAACACATGTGGGCCATGTGCTGCCGCATCGCTTTATTTTCATTTCCGAAGCGCATTACGCACAGCATGTTCTTATTTGAACAGTTCTGATAATGTTTAGAAACAATTTACATCATTGGAGTCGACAATCAAAGAACGTTAGCTAAGAATGTGAAACAGTATACTTCTTCTATTCTATACTTCTTCTATTCTATTCTTTTTTATTAGCTAAAACCATCACGCTATTTGGTGTATACTATCGAATTATACAAAAAAGAAATTTAAGTAACAAATAAATAAATAAACTATATTGTGCTGTTTAGTGGGCGCTTATGTTTGTTAAGTTGGAATTACGGACTCCTTATTTTATTGTTCTTACGGTGTCCGTTTGTGTTATTCGTGCTGTAGTATAAATGGCATTATAACCTACATATACCATTTCAATGGACATGACGTAAGCAATATCTAAAAAAGTTAATTCTTGTACTTTACCTTTTGGAGCAAGCTGTACAGCCCCGACTTAATTCCACGTTTATTTGTTTTGAAATTATAATTTATGAACTGTGTCGCATGCGCAAATTAAAATCAGACTATTTATTTCCTTTTCTACCCAAGGATAGAGAATGAACAAATGCAGTATTATTTTTCTAGGTAAGTATGATATTTATATGAATTAGGTATCTTTTTAAACTAATCTGAAAGTAGTCTTTCGTTTGTTGAGTTGACAAGTTCAGAGTTATGATTGAGAGTTATGAGTTATGATTATATAAGTTCAAGTTGTACATATGTAAAAATTATTTGTTGATTTTTTTAGATTAGTTTACAATGTTTTGAAATATATTTTATTTTTATATTAGGAATATTAGTTACGATTTGTTATGGCCGGGAACCTATTAAGCCTTTCCATGGAGCAGTGCCATACATGGTAAGAAAATATTTGTAATGTCATATTTGATAATTATTTATTTACGCTACCAACGGATATCCTGTATACTTTACATTGTTACTACTAGCATACTGTGGTCGCCTGTAAGTGCGATATGTATAATGCCTTTATATATTTATGGTACATTATTAGCTACACCTGTATGTAGATTATTTTGGTAATCCATAACATTAAAATAAAGCGATGCTTTTGAAGTACTGGGTGAATAGATATGGAGTAATAATTGGGAATTTTGCTAGTCTAAGATCAGATTGGAGTGATTGGCTGGCACATAGTTATTATCTATCTTTCTATTGAAAATATATTTTCCTCTTTAATTTAGCTTACAATTATACATTGACCACGTTCAGGTACTAGTTTCATTGCCATTTGGTAAATAACACTTGCTCGTTTTAAGGGGCTATTGTACATAGACACGAGTTAGGACTTAAGATCTACCTCATATCCACCTAGGATCCACAAACACAACACCCTAAAAAACGACGAGCCTACATTGTCTAACGTGATATTACATATAATACTAATTGAGGTTCCATAAGCATTATAATTAATATATAATTCATAAGTTAACATATAACATTATCCATAACTTTTTATTTAATTTTGAGGTGTATTACACGTCGCGTTATCGCGGCATATGCGTTGGCACGCTGGTCCACCAAACGGTGGTACTAACCGCCGCAGTGTGTGTGTGCAATCCGCGCTCACTAATACCTGACACCCAACCCATCAACGTTGTTACTGGCACCTCATACCGACATCCACGAAGAGGCGTACGCGTACAAATCACCAAAATTTTAAAGCCCAAAAGTAAGTCAAGCTTGCTAACTTTCTCTGAAACATGTCTGTCATGAAAAAGATACTTGTATGGTGAGCCACACTTAAAAATTTTATTAATTTATTTATTCATTTGTATTTATTTCATGCATACAGCTATTTTTACAAGACCATCCCAATACAATAGTGTAGTATTTCATGACGTAATCAATCACATAACATAATAGAACTAAAAATAATAATTATTATTATTGAAAATTAATAACAATTAATTAAAGCCAATTTAAAACAAAGGACTATAATGAATAGTATACAATAAAATATAATTAATTATGAACAAAGCAAAAACAGTGTTGCCTTCATGAACTAGCTCTCAAAATAAGTAAAAATGTCTACTTCTTCAGCTAGTCTATTTAGTGTTCGAATGGTGCGAGTAAGAGGCACCTTGTTGAGCATATTTTGTGCTGCCACACGGCACCACTAGCCAGCCGTGGTCGCCCGTCCCAGTGGAAGTACTCCTTTGGCAAGTAGAGACAGACTGATTGCAGCACTCCCGGATTTAAAATTTTAACTTGCAATACTCGCACTATGTAACTTGCGAAAGCCAAGTCTCTCCTTGGTTCTCGTTGTTGTATCCAACCATACCCAATACAAATAAGGTTGGCTCCGTCAAAGGATTGAAGGGCCGTTAAAATTCCTTGTTAACAAATATTTCTTCACATTTGAAAAGTACTTTCTGTGACTTAATTCGTAACACATAAAAAGAAAAAACACTTTTGACAATAAACCATTAACATAATCGAGGTCAAAATCGCAGGTAGGTAATCTCTCTCATCATCTCCTGTCCCATCTTCGTCCGTCTAAGTAATAAGAGGGAACATAAAGATTGTGCAGAAGTAATAATATTAGATGTAGCGAACTGTATAATGGGGTTCGGATGCTATTGAGGAGTGAGCAAGACCAAAGGAAGTGTACTCACAGTTTATTTAAACGACAATAACGAAGAAAAGGCGTCAAAAACAAGTACCTTTAAATTTAGAATTTCAATCTAAAACTAAACTGCTAAGACTATATAAAATATAAGTACAAAAAAGATTTGTAGGGGCTACTGCGATTCCTACACTAGAAAATATAGTTTTATATAATATGAACACACTAATCGTAATAAATTTAGCCAGTAATCTATTTGAAGCTGACTTCTAAACACTTTCAGTGCCCACTGACTTGTCCAGAAGAGCACACGAGTTACAGATTTCTCCGGCCTTACTCCTTATGAAGAGAAAAATTCCAGACGTGCTGACCGAAGTTCCTCTTCGGGCTCTGGATATCGATTGGATGAGCGAAGAGAGCCTAAACCTCCAAGAGGAATGCATGATGATTGGATGGCATTTCTTTTATAAAAATGTAATATATATTTTTATGCCAATTGTTCACGCTCTATTGTGTTTATCAATATTAATATTTTGCTTATTTCTTACCTCAGAACATGTTTGCCGTTCACCAACCTAATATTTACCGTTACATTTCAGGATAAAATTTTCCCCGTGTCTAAGTTTCTATTACAGCGTAATATCCGGGTGCAGTTTCTGAATGTTGTAAGGATGCACGCGTGGTGCGACGTATTGTCTATAAAATTAGAGAAATCGCTCGCCAATCTTGGGTACGAAGGCGAACTAGACAAAAGTAACATGATCTGTGTACGGGATGTAAGTTACTTATAATAATCATGGGCTTAGGAACGCAAAAAATGGTTGAATTAATAATATACATTGAATTAATTGTATATATTGAAGTCATAATTTTTTCAACTTAAAAGTTCTGTATACGAGTACGGGGCCAGTAGTCCATACGAACATTGTTGTCATAATTCAACCTTTTTCTAGCATTCCTCTAAATATATTGATGAGTGAAGATTTGAGCTATTACTCAGTAATTTATATTGATATAATGGCTTCGTTCTCCGGGTCTCCTTGAAGGAGAAGATTAAGGCTTAGAGCTTGCAGAACCGATCCGGTTTCTAAAATTTTGAATCCCAGTACTGGGCTCAGCTCGGTACAGATACTTCCGGTATACCTGGTACTTCTTGCAAAGCCGAAGTTGTAACCTGTCACGAACAGGTTACAGGGGGTCTACTCTCAATCTCCGTCCGACATCCGTCCGAAACAATTACTGTCAAATAAGTAATATTCGACAAAATTAAAACACAAGTATCAAGTATGAAGCTCCTTTCGCATCGCGCGTCTTTTCATTAGGTCAAGTATTGCTTATTTGGCAGTAATTGTTTCGGACGGATGTCGGACGGAGATCGAGAGTAGACCCTCAGGCTTCGACTGTAATACACATACGCACGTTTAGATTATTTTAGTACTATTTTTTTCTACCAATCGACACAATTGTACGATGATGTTTTCACAATTGCACATTTCAAGTAGGTACTTTATTACCATCTCTTTCTACCAACCGGTTACAGTACAATGTACGGTGATATTGGTAAATGAAATATGAAAACTGTTAATTTTCCTTGATGTCCGAAGTTTTTACATTTTTCACTTTCTAAATAACATAAAAGTTAATTTAAATATTACGTAAAATTACAATTAACATTTTACACTTTAATTTTCCTTCAATTTTAAACTTGACTCAATAATTTCGATTCGATTAATTTCGACTCGAGAAAATCGCATTCCATGTTAGGGAGCAACCAAATTGTAGGTAAATACCTAATCATGCGATTATTCGATCTCTGATTACAAAACACAAGTCGAACGACGTGCGCGACATTGGGTTAGGTTGCTTATAACCGAGTGCCATAATCGCGGTACTGGAACTGATCAAATCTCGCCAGTACCGGGATATTAGGTAATATTAGGTATTTCCGGAACCTGGAATTCCTGGGAGATAGCCCTAGTATCTACCAAAGCCTGACTGGCCCGATACGCGTTGGGAACCTTACAAATTTTTCAAGAGTTGTACCTACACTTTTTTCAACAAGCAGGTTTCATCACGTTTTCTATTGTTGTTAATGCGATATATCGCTACTAAACATCCACAAAAAGAAAATAATTAAATTTTTATTGAATTGATATTCAATTCTTTTTTGTGAAATTACTCCACTAGTTTCTTACAAAAAAGAATTGAATATCAATTCAATAAAAATTTAATTAACACAGTGAATAGCGACATCTCTCGCCAGGACTGGTAGCTGTAAAGGTACTAACTGGGTGATAAATCTTTCATAGATTTCTTATAGATGGCGCTACGACTAAAGTCGTTGAAAAACCAAATACAAAGACACGACACAAGCACATGGAAAAATTCGTGAGGTCCGTTGGTTCGTTCCGTGGCTTAGTTGGTATAGCGTCTGACACGGTATGCAAGAAGACGTTGGTTCGAATCCGACCGGATCGAAGGAATTTGTAAAAAAACTTTGTATTAATAATTATAACAAAATGTATATAACTTAGAAAAAAAGTCGTAGTACAGGGATTCGAAATTCGGATTGTAATAAAAAATTAAATTAAAATATATTTAAAACAAAAACAGTATAAATATGACCTCATTTGAACTTTCATTTATTTTCCTCAGCCTGACCAAGCAGCGCAGCCGTGTCATGTAAGTTAAACAGCCACTGATACAATTCAATGGTCTGCGTCTATCTATCTAAAATCTACGGATTGTTTACGTTATACTATAGACTTATCCACACGTCATTCTGTTGAGTGTTGACTAATATGAACTTTTTATTTTTTCATATAAATTTAGAAAATAATGTTCTTCCTGTTATGATTAGAGCTCGATAAAAAGTCGCAGAAAAAAGTCAAGTCATGTATTGATTACCAGTGTACCGATTGTCCAGTACAAGCGGAACGGCCGGTGATACAGGGCGACCCACTTGAATGTCATACAACTTTGAACTTAAACAAAACAGTTTACCTATACTATACTGGTCGTAATTCTCTGAAAAACAATACAATTTGATTAGACCTCAATTGTAATATCAGTCGAGATTAAATTTTATTTGAAATGCAATGTCAGTAGTCAATTTTGACAATTTCACACGTTATTTGATATCGAAACTATGAATTAAAAATAAAAACTACGGTTATGTGACATGCGTGAGAAAAGTTTTTATTTGCCACCATTTCGCCAGTGGTAACATGCGATTCCTGAATACATCACATAGAGCTTATATGTGTGTAGATAAAGCAGTGTATGTAACTGTACATAATTAGGCATTAAAACACTCGTGAGATGTTTTTATGAAACTCGCTTGTTGGCTCGTTTCACAAACCCTCACTCGTATTTTTCTGCCTTTCATTATATAACAGTCACATAAACTACTATTTCAACACACTTGCTCGTAGTAGTAATTACAACCTGCAACAAAACTAGGCGGTAGGTACTTTTATCATATGGCCCCAGGGCAGATTTTTTCATTTCCACGCTCCTTGTGAAAATAATATAAATGTAGTATGTACAAACTACTACGTTTTTAAATATAATTATCCTTCTTTTAAAGTTCCTCGCGAGTGTGATCTTCTTATCATATCTATGGGACACACTGTATAGCCATTGCGGTGAAAGGATATGCCAATCGGCGGCGTAAAGATACTTGCCGATTGTTGCCCAAATTGGGTCTGGCGTGTGCGTCTCTGTATAGGTAGTACGAGCAGTTGTGGGAAGGCTCCTTTCGTGCACTCCTATATGCTTCGCAAGTGTGATGGAAAACGTATGCCATACGAGCGGAACAGACATTACAAAAATAGCGTTCGGGCCATTAAAGCTTCTTCTTTGCTTATTTGCAAGTCTCTCTGTTCATAATTACCTATATACGACAATAAGTTACGTAAGTAAAAAGCAATTAGAAAAATAAGCAAATCCTTTAATTGAGATCTAAGTTTAGTTTAACTGTAGGACAAATGATGATGTGACATCCATTCCATTTCCATTTTAGAATCCATACAAAGATGTATGGATTCTAAAATGGAAATAATCTCAGTAGAAAGTACTAAAAAAACCGACCTCAAAAGTTCGTGGAATTACATCTATTAGCCAAGTTTTATTGTAATCGGTTACTGGAAAGTGCGCGAAGCTGGATTCATCACTCACATAGTTCACCACTATACGGGACTTAACACAAGAGATAATAAAAATCGGTACTCAGTGCTTAAAGTATATTGTGGGAGAAAAACGCCTTCAATTGGAGCATGGCAAAATCAACCTTTAAAATAATTGCTCCTTATAAAATTTAGGTGTTATTTATAAAAATAAGTGTTCTTGCGTCTTTAGCCACCCTTAGACGTAGAATATTTTCTTCAAAATTAAATGGGACCACTAATGAGGTACCCTTTTTCGAACAAAAAGAATCCTCAAAATCGGTTCACAAATTCCAGAGTTATCGCTACATACACACAAAATTAAAAAACAGAGTCGAATTGAGAACCTCCTCCTTTTTTAAAGTCGGTTAATAAATGAGAAATAAAGTGCTTCAGCTTCAAATGGAAATAAATGAGAACAGCAATGAAACAGTCATGTTACGACATTTAAATTATTTTCCAAATTCCATAAATATAAATTTATTTCAATTTATAAATGACATCCAAGTGAACGACCTTGTAATTGAATTTGACAACATAATTCTGCCTAATGTTCAAAGTAATACAGAACGACGACGCATGAACGCGAAAACAGCACGTCATCAGTACATGCCTTGTCCAGTAGCATAAGAGACCAATATAAATCATGTAGATACATTATGTTGAACATGCGTGTAAAAGATATCAGTGCAATCGCGAGCATATTACTGACTACGCATGCATTACGAAATTTAATGCGAATTTCTTATTAAGTAAATTTCGTACCTAAGTACAAATATAAACAGTAAACGATGTAACAATAAGGTAGTCATATTTTGGAATATAAAACTTCCGTTGATACCGATCAAGTGGATCAGAGATTGAATCGAATAATATTTCGACTTTCTAGACAAATGTCTGTATGTGTTGCTACAAATGGATGGAAGGTAAAAAAAATATACACCTATCGTTTATTATACTGTATGAGGAAAATTGTTGGGAGACCATAATGACACTTTTCGAGTTACGTTCTTTAAAAGCAACAAACTATTCATAACAGATGCTTAAACCTACTACAAACTCGGGTGTCCCAATTTCTAGAGCTTACTGTAATTATTTCTTACATTCAGATTTTTGTAATAGGGATCGTATGGATCTCCGCTGGTCTGCCGAGGTCGCGTAGTAGGTGTCATGGTATCACCCGATGGGCAGTGGACCAACTGTACTGGTCAGTCCAACATCATCCACCGCTTCAATACCAGCCCTATATCGAACTTCATGAAATGTGTCAGCGGGTACGTAATCAATTTATATGTCAAAACCGACGACAATAAAGTTTTTGTTTGAAAAAAAAAACCACTAGAATACGCCTAAAAACTCGGCGCCCATTATAAAACTTTTGCATGCCTTATAAATCTTTTGGGTTTTAGAAGGTGGCTAATAGCCATACCGTTGGTGACCATATGAAATCTATCCAGTCAATAACAAATTATAGTAATTTCCCAGGAACTCTTTTCTTACACAGCTTAGGCACGTTTAAGGATCTAACTATTCGTCGAGGAATTTTTAAATTAGTTTTATTATGTTAATTAACGCGTCGGACTCTCCTATTAACTAAATCTTACTTACACCTAAATAGAGCAACAATGACATATCATCGTACACTTAACTCGCATGCTTACTTTCACATTCGTTCTCAAACAGTTTCAAGATCCACACTATCTGCTCCTAAACTGCTCAACGAACCGTTTTAACTACCAGTTAACTAGGTACTCTAAATTCACAGAGCTTCCATTTCTCTGGGTTCCAAACGAACTGTTCTGTACTGGATTTGGGACGACAGATTACCCTTTTGTATACTTGTTAGTCATAAGTTATGACTCATAACTATTATAAAATAAGATTAATGCTTGCCAGCCGTGGCAACAAAAGTGCATTAATACACAGGTTAAATCCTTTTGTGGGGTCTGGATGTTGCCTCACTGACCAGGAATGTATGTACGATACTGTTAATCTGTAATGGGTATCAATAGTATTATTATTGTTCATGCGAGGCCTTTAGGTATCCGTCAGTGTTCAATTCTAGGTGCATTTTTATTTTTAGTATATATTATAGTCTTAACTACATAGCCTCATGGAGCGTATACGACAATCGTTTTAGACTTATTTTAGCCTGTTTTCAAGATTTTATGTAACCGGATAAAGTACATCCTATCGTGTAACACATTAGCACGTTCTTTAGACAATATGCTTAAAAGTACCGTATATTTTTCGTAAGACCGTTATTTAATAGTCAATACCTAAACCATTTCATCTAGGAAAACGTTTTCCCGCTTCTCCTCAGGTGACTCGCCTTAAGGTTGATATCCGCTTGCACTTGAAATGCATCCTTCTTCAAGTTTGCCTTTATCTATTGCAGCATGTTCTCGTCAGAAATGCGCTCCAACGGGGAGGAAATGAAAAAAGCGTTGTATGACGAAATGGATGAATATGACTACCTGCCAGCGTTGTACGGGAGGGTGGTAGCGGTAGATGGCGAATCCAGCTCAGACGAAATATAATTACGTAACCTTATCGCTCGTTCTACATTTTTCTGAAAAACGTTTATGCGTGGCGATTATTATTTATTGCTCTTTGAAGAGGTTTAATTAGCATTTAGTTTGGATTGAAATAATTTCCTGCGCGGTATTAGGTATTATATTACGAGAGAAAATTTATTATTTCCCCGTCTTTTGTTTGTTAATAATTAGAAGCTAATTATCTCTGGTATAATAAATAAATAAAATAAAAATGTTTATTTACTTTAACTTAGGTCAAGTTTACAATTCAGGGTGTGAAACTCCTTTTAAGTTAATATATACTTATGCTAGGAGTCCCGCTCTTGCACATTACAAATACAGGAATATCTAGTGTAATTTATTTTACTGTGTGTGCGTGTGTGTGTGTGTGTGTGTGTGTGTGTATGTGTGTGTGTGTGTTCGTGTGTGCGTGTGGTGTGTGCGTGTATGCGTGTGTGCGTGTGCGTGTGCGCGTGCGCGCGTGTGTCTGTCTATGTGTGTTTGTGTGTGCGTATGCGCGCGCATGTGTGCATGTGCGTGTGTGTAATAGCGCATATGAGTATAGTATTAGATTAACAAAGTACAAAAGTATCGTTTTGGAGAATAGTCGATTACACGGATTAGACACGATTAGACATTCAAAAAAGATTCGGTTTCGTTATAGTTTAATAGTTGTAGCCATTTTATTAGAGCGTTTTTACAATCGTAATAATTCATTGGATAAATTCATTGCTCTAAAATTTTTAATATTTTATTAACTTTATTGTAGAGATAGGCAGATTGTTTAGTATACTGTTTTCTTGCAAAAGTTGCACTTATTTGTTGGAAAGGAACGACTATATCGTTTCATCTTTTATTTAAAACTTTTTGGTCAAGTATCAATGACGTATATGGAGCTTACCTACCACGTACGTGCTATATGTAGGTATAATTTTCTTATCGAAAGAACGTTGCTAAACCTGTAAAGTTCTGATGTGTGAAATTATACGGTTTAAAGAACATCACTTCTAACCGGTTTAAAGTACAAATCTTCTAACAACGCTCTCTGAACACTCTCTAGTTCCAAAAATTTAGTCTGAAGTACCGCCTGATATTGGAATACAGTAAACCAAAATAGATTGCACAAGGGCTATACCTATATGTTTTGTTTAACAGTTCCTTTCTTGCTACATGTTGTAATGTTTTAAAAATCCATATTAGCTTTCTAACTATACTACAAATCAAGTCTATTTGATAATACCATGATTGATGATCTGGTATGTCCACTTATTGACTGCTTGAAAATTTGTCTGGTTGCTTACCTGGGTACACAAAACGAATCTGAGTGGTGCAGTCAAGTTATTAAGTGTTTTGTTACAATATCCATAATTCATTTTAACGTCGAAAAATGCAGTCTGTGTAAGTTTTTTGTAGTATATTGCAAGCTTAAAATAAAGATTGCAAGATAATAAAAAGTACTGACTATGAAATGATTACACTTTATTTACTCTTTTACAATACGTTAATATATTTAAGAATCGTGGAATAAGACTAAAAGATGTGCCCTTCACAGCCTACTCTGACATCTTCATATAAAAATACATTAATAACTTGCTAACTCTGTTCGTAGGAAAACCATCTAAAATCGTATTACAATGTTACTATTGTCAGCCCAGTGGTTTCATACAGAGTGACATACTCAAATGTCGCAATTTTTTTTATAAATACCCATAAAGAAGCGCTTTGACTTATACTCTTTCCAAGTCCGTCAAAATTGTATAAGGCCAAGAACCAAATATAGTTTCAATTGCACGGGTAGAATTTCTTCCTGAGATGACTTTTACCACGTTTGCTAACTTTTTCATACGACACATTAAGAAGTTGCCGTGTATTTTATATAAAACACAACTGGGCCTATTTCTAAATATCAACTTTAAAATATGCATCACTTAATGGTATTACTTTTACCACATTTACACTACATGTTCATATCTTTAAAGGCAATTCAAATAAACATGCGTAATAAACTCTAGGGATAGAAAATACAAAATAATGGTATTCTTAACAAGCGACAATACTGTGCGCATAAATGTGGTAATTCAGCTACGTTTTTTTTTTGCTTGTTTTTTAGGCAGAACCGGCTCGACATTCGAATAACAATAGATAGCTCTATATATACAACACATAACATAAGTGCACATAATATTACATACACCCAAATAACTTAATATATATTGAATATTAAAGCTGGACATGACCGTGGTTAGGTTGACGGGGTAATTAGTAAATGGATAAATTAGACGATTGGAAGTTATAAGTTCATCGGTACATGTTATTTTTTTTACATAGGACCAACCATTAGCCGTCTTAGGGCATCGCAACATAATTAAAAATATACACCTCAACCTACAAGTTTTGATTGCATAAGCAATTAGATAAAAACATTAAAATGTAAAACCTAAGTAATTTCATAATGCACAACACCGATAACAATATTATTGTTAATAAGGTAACTAAGTGCCCTTTGATTCATATTTTCAGATAGCTTTACTTGAGTTCGAATCTTGAAAAATAATCATCAGGTCTCTAGGGTTTTTAAAAAAGTTTACAATTTGTGAGATAATAGCTATTTGTTGTACCCCTGGGTCTTAACGAAATAAACACTTATGAGTCTAATCGACATTCACACAGTTGGCCTAATCAGATTTGCCAACTAACTAGGCAAATTCATAAATACAGAATAAGACCTTTAATAAAAGTACAAAAAAAACACGACCAAAACAGTACCTACTGAATAATCATGTACATAATAATAATATTACTGTAAATAACGACAATATTTTAAAACATTCTTGCGTTATATACAAAATTTGGCCAATACTATAAAGCAAGCCTCTGTGTGTTCCATTACAAATTCTATGACAAAGGAAATGCAATCGAAAAGCAAACTCAATACTGTGAATAAATATTATGGTGAAATCCGAGGACGTTGAACCCACGACTTCATTATGGTTTTTATTTTGTTCTGTCGACTCCAAACTCAAGAAACATTGTTTGTAGCATCAGTCACTGTTTTACCAGAGAATCGTATTTGTTATGACGACCTCGGGGGCACAACGGTTACAATTCTAGACACTAATGATGAGGTTCCAATTTTCACCATTCTCAATCTCGTTTTAACCAATTTGGGAAACGAACTTTTCGAAATTGGTACTGGTCTGGTGTTTACTGTAATGTCTGGTACTCAAAGTATAGGGATTCCCTAGTTTGAGTCCAGGTAATTGTGTGGTGTTGTTGCCCGGCCCACATCGGTAGATTGATTACAGTGACATTTCCATTGGCAAGTTTTTGGAATAAGTATAAAAATATATTTTATACCCCAAAACTGTCAATATTAGTATTATCCTACATTTATGTGTATATTAATGTAGGATAACGCTCGATATCGATTATGTATTGTACAGTATGTTGATTTCAAGAATGTCTGAAAGAAATCGTGACAAATTTAATTACACACTGAAGAAAATTTTCAAAAACATTTAATTTTAAAGACCGGGCAATTTACCGTAGATATAAAAAATAACAAAAAGACCCAAAAATATTAAATTTTTGTGCACATTTTTACAAGTAGTAGGGTTTATATCTGTGCAGAACTCTTGTGATTATACCATAGCCAGTGGTAGGTAGGTACCTTTTTATACCGAGGAGCACTGTTGTGAATTTAAAGAGTCGGGAAAGCCACCGAAACCAACGGCACAGAAGACTTCGGATCTTATGTCCCATAGAAAACGACGTTCATGTGATATTAAAGTAGTATTTTTAATATTATAAAACATCTATAGGCAACGGTTACCACTGTTCATCAGATGGATGGTCTATTTAAAAACAAAAACAGTGTTACAAAGAAATGTTTAGTGGTACATACGTTTCGTCAATACAAAAACTAGATGCTACCAAGTCCTTCCACGAAAAACAATACGCGCGGTCGAGTATTCTGTGTCAGGGATCAAAATTTAGTATAGATTCGTCTAGGAAAAATATCGAAGATACAGAGAATTCATTTATATTATTATAGACTAATATACCGGCAACATAAACCACGATAACCCTCGTGCCTATCTCATAAACTTTATTTACAAGTATAGCCCTTGAACTACAAAATAAAAAGTACCTACGCATGAAAAGCATTATTAAGCATTTAATGCCATATTGCACTGAGTTCTAATGATACCTCACAGTTTGGAATGAAACTTTTTTGCAATTAAACTACAGATGCCATTACTTTTGTCTATGATGGAATTTAGTTCGGTTCTAAAGTTTAGATCGAAGAACCCCACATCCTATAAATGACAAATAAGATAATATATCGTCTGCTTAAAGGTAAAACCACACCATTTGTAAGAAATTCACCATCTTTCTGCAGATAAAACTCTTATTATGTTTATAGCTTTTTTATTATTGAGCTTAACGTGCAGAAAGATAATTTTCTTACCATAGCCTTAGAATAATAACGCATAGTTTCATATTAAACGAACTGTCACAAGTGAGGCGAAAATCAAATTTATGTAGGCGTCAGCAACTACGCTCATCGGCACGCACACAAATATACAAATAACGATGCCATGGAATAACATTTCCCTCAAAAGTGGGGAAATTGTATCTTGCTTAACTCATCATTAAGTTAAAGGTGCCTACAGATTTGCTCGATTTTGTCGATCGGTACTGTCGATCGACAATGTCGATCAGGTGCCTACAGATGTGCTCGATTTTGTCGATCGTTACTGTCGATCGACAATATCAAAGAATTCTCAAAAATTTATTTATGGTAATCCTCATAGAAATGGCATTTATATCTGAATACACGAAGGCGCACACCACTTTTCTCATTGCTAATTCCAAGATGGCGGACACGTCTTTTCAAATAAATGCAATATGGGAATCGTTTTCGAGGTATTCGAGATGCTCATTACGAATATGGCATTTATTTCTAAACTTCAAGATGGCGGGCACGATTTTTCGAATAATGGTAAGTTGGGTTTCGTTTTCAAGGTATTTGGGGGTGCTCATTACGAATATAGCATATATTTCTAAATCCAAGATGGCGGACACGACTTCACAAATAAATGCAAAATGATTATCATTAGTAACAGGTTTCTTACCACGGTATAACTTCTTTTTATTTTCCCGATATTTCATGTGCAAAATGGTTCAAATGCAAAATGGGCGTCATTTTCGAGATATTTGGGGGTGCTCATTACGAATATGGCACTCATTTCTAAATCCAAGATGACGGGCACGATTTTTCGAATAATGGTAAGTTGGGTGTCGTTTTCAAGGTATTTGGGGGTGCTCGTTACGAATACAGCATAAATTTCTAAATCTAAGATGGCGGACACGACATGAACCATCAACCCCGATAACAGCTAAAATATTACCCATATTGTTTTTATTTGAATAGTCGGTTCTGCAATCTTCGATTTAGAAATGAGTGCCATATTCGTTATGAGCACCCCCACACACCTCGAAAATGATACCCATATTGCATTTATTTGAAAAGTCATGTCCGCCATCTTGGATTTAAAAATAAATGCTATATTCGTAATGAGCACCCCCAAATACCTCGAAAACGATACATAACTTGCCTTTATTTGAAAAATCGTGCCCGCCATCTTGGATTTAGAAATAAGAAAAGTCTTGTCTGCCGTCGTGTATTCAGATATAAATGCCATTTCCTTATGGATTACCAAAAACAAATTTTTGAAAATTCTTGTCGACCATCTTGGATTTAGAAATTAATGCTACATTCGTAATAAGCACTCTCAAACCCCTCGAAAACGTCTTTAATTCTCAATGGACATTGTCGATCGACAGTAACGATCGACAATCGAGCAAATCTGTAGGCACCTTAATAAATACTACCCAATTTTTATTTAATTCATATATGAACATAAACCTAAAAGCGAGTTTAAGTGCGACTATTGAATTTGACTATATAAACAGCCTGATATTATCTGTGGATAAACACATGAAAAATACACGATAACAATAAAGAACCTGAACCTGAAACTTATTTATACACGAGTTTGGAGAACTGACGATGTCTTTTTTAGTCAATGTTGGTTCCCTGAAATAAGTTTAGTTAAGAACTTTTGAGTCTGGGCAAGGTTTAAAATGAGTGTATGATGAACAAGAATAATGATTTTTCACATGAAAGTAATGAAGGCAAATACTAAATATCTTCCGTAAAAATAGCTAACGTAAATTCCCTACAATGTTGTCGCGGCGGTGCACATTTGTAAAAATTTTGCAACCGTCGCGATATTGTCTATTCTCAAAAAATTACGTAATATAATTATTTTGAAACAGAATCGCAAAATGGGGAGAAAAAGCCGTTGCTTTGCAACGTTTTCGTATCTTGTTGCAACGAAATTAATTTTCTGTTTTAGTGAATATTTATATAAAAATACAAGTTGAAACGCGTTACTTCCTTGTGGAATGTGATGTTAGTGCTATTTTATGTTTGTCTGATCTATTGTAAACACTCATTTACCGCACATTTCGTCATTTTTAGCAAAAGATTGTAAGCTGTTCGCGGTGCAACATGACCTTGAGCACTGACAGCCCGCTCGCTCGTGTAAGCCCATAGGGTGCCCTACAATTTGCCTCAATTAGCGTGTCCGGGCGACCATAGCTATATAAATTAAATACTGTGTGGAAAATGTCACTTATGTGGTTTTACCTTTAAACAGATAATTATAATAGTATGAGACAATAAATATTACATTGTCATCTAAAACGCAAAGTTTCCGTTACTTTTCGTGCATTTTTTCAACATTGTTTTGAACTATAAGTGAGTCGCCACTCTTATCGATAAGGAAGCGGTAAAGACGTGCGTTTCGTTTCCGTTGGATCGCCGACGCGAAACGCACGACTTTTTCGCCCTTATTGCATCCACTACTACTAAAAGTTTTTCTGATCGGCTCAAGGCCATTCCGTGTCAATAAATGTGGTGAATCCCTATCTAGACTCGAGTAAAAGTGGAAAGAAATTGTCCCCAACAGACAAGTGAATATTCATATAATTATAGAACATAATGGAATGCTAAAATTATAACGGGCGTCATATTTTTCTGTGTGAAAATTCTTTAAGCATAACACCCAAATCCCCGTATCTTAAAGCTCCGTAATCAAAAATAAGAATAGAGAATAGTGCGTAGTATATTATTAACATCTGGAAGAAAGATCACTTTCGATCTCAATAACTTATTTTGACTATGTGGAAACATTTTGTTTAGTTACGAAAATCCGTTACAATGTCTTCGTCAACTTACGTACATTTAGCTACAAAAGTTTGTTTTTATAATGCAGTGCACAATGATCACCATAAAAGCGCAGTAGGTACAACAGTGGAACATCAATAAACAAAGTAACAAAATTTATATTCGAATAAGCAGCCTTTTGCAACTTGAAAAGTCACTTTAGAAATTGCAAACGTGTCTGTAGTGTTGATATAATATAGTATCAGGCGCATTTTCAAGAAAACTTTTTAATTATTATAATACTTATCAGATCATCTCGTAACGTCGGGAGAAGCGGTTTCGAGATGCGTACACAAGGCAGCAGACTATCTCTTTTTTGGCTTTTTGATTTCTAATTGAATAAGATCAGACCTGTGTGTAGTCCTGTAAATATACATATATACATCGCCTAGAACGTAGCCGTTACTATTCGCACCACGCCACTGCTTCAGTTTATTTTTAAACGAACTGGATAAACCTAATTTTCGTGATAATATGAGTATATGATCTTACAACATTATTTAAATGTGTGTGGATATACATACCTAACTACATTCATAAAACCATTTAAAGCATTCCGTTACAATTTTCTGTTTTTGCAACATGTAAACACTTTCTTGATTAAATACATAATATTTGCTATTTTAAAAACTACGAAATTGCTATTATAAATAAATGTGATGGGGTGATCAAGAGTGACATAGCTAAATCTGTAATTGCAGAGTGCTACCTGGAGACTAAATAACAATACCTAGAACATTTGTAGATGATTTGTATTCCAAATTTGATGTTTATTATACAACTACATCAGAAACTATAACGACAGCGACTCATTGTTTATAATGTAATCATTGAATACTTACAATGGTGAAGCTAGTGTAAACTTTCGACATAACCGTTCATACGTGTTGCCAGCATTACAATCTCAGTACAGAGTACTAAAAAAAAACCGACCTCAAAAGTCCGTGGAATTACATCTATATGCCAAGTTTTATTGAAATCGGTTACCGGAAAGTGCACGAAATTTGATTCATCCCCTAATTTGCCACCCTTAGAGGTGGAATATTTTATTCAAATTTAAATGGGACCACTACTGAGGTATCCTCTTTCCAAAAAAAAGAATCATCAAAATCAGTTCACAAACCAGAGTAATCGCGTAACATACATACAAAGATATATACAGTCGAATTGAGAACCTCCTCCTTTTTTCGAAATCGGTTAAAAAAGGTACTACTAGTAGAAAAGGAATTAACACGTCTTAGTTTCAAAGCTTTAGGGCTTTCACTATTTTTGACTATAAAGATGTTATATTAATTAGTAACATTGCATCGAGGTAACACTATGGGCTGAAATGTCCTAAGTACTACTATATACAATATAACAACACATTCATCCTATTAGACACAACAACTTAAAGGTAAAGACTGCCCAAATCAACGATAAATATGTAAATAATAAAAAAACTAGCAATAGCAGGAAATTCCCTTACTAATAGGAAATTACACATTCTTCATTCTCTTATTTGATCTAAAAGGGGCAGCAGTATTTTAATAAGTTAAAAGAACATGTGACATGGTATCTAATCGACGCGCCGTTTTGCTTCAGGTTGCAATCCACTTTGTCAGTATAATTGCAGTACAATATGCTCAGAGTATGATGAATAATATTAGGATAATCATTAGAAGACCTACAAGTATTAAAATTGCCAGGCATTGACGTTGATCTGAAATAAAAAAGTAATTATAGGATTTCGCTATAGGCGTATAAATTAAGTAGTAAACATAAGTATTTAATTTCATGCTCTGTGCAATACGCAAAGTATAAGTTACAAAAACTATAATAATATATTATTAATAATAATAACGCACACACTCAACATAGCCCCGCACTAGGGAAACCCTGTGTCGCGGGTGCCATAGACACACACATAGACAACCACAAACTACACCCAAACTCATGAGAGAAATAAATGTAGGCCATACAAATATTTCTCCCGGCCCGGGAATCGAACCCGGGGACCACTGTGTGGCAGTCCGGTATGGTAACCGTTCGGCCACGGAGGCAGTTATAACTATGAAGATAGTAAAAGACTCACCATTGTTCATGTGCAAGACTTTAGCAACTTTTTTTATAGTTGAATCCAGCTTTGAGTCTGCATTTTCAAGTTCAGTGTTCAGGTCATCCAGCATCCTGGAAAATAGAGAACAACAATCAAAACATAATAGGAAATTGCAAAAGTTGGAGAATGTTGTGTGCTTATGCAAATTATGGATATTTACATAGCTTGTTCGTCAAGTTCAATGCCTATCTGTTTGGAGACAGTCTTTAATGAGCCAACAGAGTTGCTGATCACTTGCAGTTGGTCATTCTGGCTGCTAATCATTTTGTCTTGCATCGACATTATGTCATTGTCATATGTATCAAAAAGTCTGTTGGGACTGTCAGTCTGGTTAGCTAGTTTAGAGTACTTTGAGTACTTTGGAGTGGATGTCCATAAATTGCCAAAGTGCATAGGGCTTTCCTCGCCCAGGAGGGGCTCCCTCGCGGTGCCATCATTATCTCGGTTTCTGTTTAGGCTCATTTTGCTCTTCATTACCTGAAATATTTGTCAATTGATAAACGCTGCCGTTTAACAGAAACTAATGAGTTTTAGTACTTCAAAACGCAAACGAATTATGTGGTTTTACTTCATGCTATCTACTTACCTTTACTTCTTGCTTAGTAGCCTGAATGAATGTTTTTCTGTCACAAATTTCTTTATTGTCTATTTTAAATTTGGAAGAATTCTTCTCAACAATGCTTAAAAGAATAGGTTAAGAAAATTGTCCCAAAATGATCACCTAATATCATCTCATATTGTTTAAAGAGGTTTAAAGTTTACATATTACTATACCCAGTTTATGTCAAAAACAATGTTTTCTCTATAATTTAATTGTGCAATAAATAAAATTTAAGAATCTGTTCATGATCTCAGGGTCTATAGCAATCATTGAAGTGTTATGCAATAAACTGTTTTTAGAACTTGTGTCTTAAATATTTGTAAATTCAAAATCAAATCCATAATTTAAAATACAATAAGAAAATATCACCAGACCAAGTACCTATGCTTCAAATCTATACTAAATTATGTCTTGATATCTTAAAGTGTTTATAAATTTCATAATGATGAAGTAGAAACATACAAATTGATGTATACTTTAATAGATGCACATATATTCTAGAAAGGTTTATGCTGAAAAGAGAAATTTAAATATATTTCTTTAGAGTTTCTAAAAATGAGAGAAGATATTGCTTTTTTGTTTAATCCTCCTGATTTTTTGTTTTTCAAACTAAAGTCTACTCAATACTTACAAATTTGTTTCAAAACAAAATAATTGAAAAGGATATTAATAGTATCCTCCAAGTCCTCTAAGTCCCACTCAATACTACGGAGAGCATTCCTCAGCTCTGTTGAAGTCCATTCTGCTTCAGGACTATTGGGTATGCTAGGTGTTTTAGAAATCTCTTGCCAACGTAGATACAAGCCCCGCGTCTTGTTTAATGCCTTGAACACCTCACTGCATAATAAATGGTGTTGGTTTTATAAAACACTTTAATGTACAATACCAAAACTTACAAACATTTTAATACCTGTTGTGAGCACTAGAGGCTTGGTACAATTTACCACACAAACAAAATTTATTCTCAACAGAGACAAGTAACACCATAAACTTACAGTAGAAGCAGGTACTGAGTGGAACAGACTCTCTTTGTAACACTATTATAAATGGATCAATACATCTATTTTTACTTGAGGTCACATGATACCAAATAAATAAATTATTATCCATTGCAGCCACCTACTCCTCTGCAGTTTTATAGGGGGCAGACAGTATAACGGTACCTATGGCGACTCTTTTACACTAAACATTAAAACATTACTTACTCTTTGACGACATAAAATGGATCTTCTAGAGTCATGTCAGACAGTAAAAACAGCGTTTTGGCGCAAGCTCACTCATGTGACGAAGTGCAGATAATTACACTGGCAAATTAACTAGTACGGCGGGAACGGACGAATACTCGGGTATCCAGACAATCCCTCGCCTATCCCACAAAATATCGACAGCATGATACCTACCTCGTGTATATTGCTCGATGAGATTCTCTGTCCTTTGCTAGCGCGTGTAAAAGGCACGGGAAATGTGTGATCGGACGACGTTACAACGCGCAATCGCACAAGGGAGGCTGGAGATGAGTTGTCAACAATCGCCAACGACGCCACAACCCTCCTACTCCTACAGTCACACCCTCTCCTCCCGCACGAACAAAAATATTCCAACCAACTCCCAACTTATAGCGCTAACATAACACCCACCCCTTCCTCCCTATCACCTAAACGTCAATGTAATTTTTTTGTTATTTATTGAGCATTGGCTACGAGGCAATCAACTTAAAACTATAACAAGACAAATAAATGAATAATAATTAAACCTTAGAGGATAAAAAAAAATTCCATAGTCTAAGAATTAAACCTATTTTTTGTTGTTGTTTTGGCTTCTGTCCCACTGCTAGTGTCCGGCTTGAAAGTAACTAAACACTTAGAGGATGGAAAAAGCTTACACTGTAGTTTATTTTTCCATCCTTTAAGGGAAAAAGACTAAATATAAACACTACAACGTAATAATTAATAATATAAAAGAAATAACCTCATTGAAGAAAGCATGTATACTCAAATTCTGACTTGAGTACTAGAGACGGTAATGAAGAATGGACATGGAAATGATTTTTTAGGATAAGGTAGTGGAAATATAAGGTTACTGTAATGACATGCATGCATGTAAAAAAAAGAATATTGCGAAATAAGTGTGAAGACAACTTTTTAATACAGTTGCTCAAAACGTGGTATTTTTCGCACTACAAATCGTGCCGAAAGTTGGAATTTTCGCACTAGTGCTTTTTACTTTTCCATTTTTTTTTTAATTTACTGTTGTTTCAAATCTTAAGCACAGAACTAAAGAAGTTGTATATTTATTTAATATTTATGTGCTTTGTGACGTAAGTCATTCGTCATTAAAACTTATATTTATTTACAAATACTATATAATGAACGTATCGAATGGAGGTCTCTGCCTACCCCTGAATGGGTGACAGGCGAGATTTTTATGTATATATTTGTTTTATGTATTACAGATAAATTGTATCTCACTACCGTGCACGGGTTCCTAAAGAAGTTTAAACAAAAGTACCAGGACTTCATAATAAGAAAAGTGGTTACAGACCGATATTACAGAAAATAAACAAAAACAGCACGTTAGAACTATATTTCCATAGACTTTTAAATAATGGTTGCAGTGGTTGTATTTCATTATTTTAATTTACTAGCAGAAAATGAGTTTTTTTTTAAATACTGTTTTATTTTGCTTTCAATGTAGTTTTTTCGCAAATGTATTAAAAAACGTCGTTTGATACACGTGCGAATTTGTCATTTTCACTTGTCTCGCGTCTTGACCCTCGCCTCTGGCTCGGGCCAACAAGCCTCGAGCCTCGTGAATAATACTAACTTATACCTCGTGTATAATAATAACTTTCCGCACTTATATCAAAAATAACTATTGTTTTATTATTTCTTTATTTCTATTCATAATGACAAATATGAAATTTAAACTTAAACCGAAAAACTGAAACTTAAGCTTAAAATTGCAAGAAAACTTTAACATAAGCACCACCAAATTTTCATCAAGAACTTTAGGTGCTAATTATTATTAATTGGGTCTCTGGGTTACTGCAAGCAGTCTGCATTTTTCTAAGACATAAAATGTAATGTATATATGTGCATGCGCGTGTTCATGTACGTTTGTGTGTACGTGTACTTATAATGTGTAAATTATATTACTAGTAACAATATAACAATTAACATTTTCTTTGCTAATAGCTATTTTTTGTAAACAACCTGGTATTATTAATTAAATCAACAAAACAAAATAAATGTTTTCTAAAACCCAAAATTATAATGAAATGTTGGAAAAAGGCTTATTTAAAAGTTTTATACTTTTTTAAAGTTATATTCATCCAGTACTATTCAAACACTATTTTCAATAATCAAATTCTTTTTCTTTCCATTTTCCCCTTACTCTTACCTTTTCCTTTAATGTTACCCTTAGTAGTATTGTCATGGTTTTCGGTATTTTTTCTTTTGTTTTGGTTAGTTTAGTCTCTACTACTTACTATTGTAATGAAAGAATTTATACCAACTTTTCAAAATTACTGTCTCTTTTTTAGTGTTAAACTGCCTTCCGATCATTCTTCATAAATTTTTCGAGCTATTTGATTTTCAGTCTTTCTTGATACTTGTATATTATTTTTGATATATGTAGAAAGTCTTCAAATTCTTATTCTCTTTATCCACATCTCCTTTCAACATTTTTCAGCAGTTTTATCTTTTTGTTTCGTTGGTATCTCAGTGGTTTTGATTTTGCTCTCAATTGATACAATTACTCAGAAATGTTCATACTCGCATATTCGTCGCTTTTTTTGCGATGATGAAGACAGATCTGATGCAAGTGGATGTAATCCTTGTTCTTCTAGATGTTCTTGTTTGCTACCTTCTGTGTCCAAAAGTTCAATCTCTTTTTATTTGACTTTTTTGTTTGTTGATATTTCTTACTATCCTCTATCTCCTCCGTCTTTCTTGACACCACATATACAGAGTGTACAGAGTGCACGTGGTGTCAATTCATCTCTGCTATTAATTTGTTTTTCTGCCTTTCTGTTTAAATATAGTATTATTTCCGTTTGTTTTTCAATGGCATATACGTAGGACGCACTATATGTTTCCGGGACGAATAAGAAAAAAATACTATAAATGAATTATACCAAATTTGACGCCCCTTAGTTTTATCTGGTAAGCATGACATTGCACCAAGTGACGCGATCCGTTTTTTGAGCCTCAGTCAAATTGTGTGGGATCCACCGAGAGCACAGCTTTTTCGCACTCAAATGTCTGTGTAGTATGGATTGTGTTTGACTCATGCCTATGCCTAAAGATGCCCGAATCTCATGGTATGTGCCTGTCTGTTTTGATTATACGGCGCACAGCATCGATGTTTTTGTTGTCCACAGTCCACAGCAGTGGACGGGCAGCCATCACGAAATTCGTGACTGAGATTCACACGACCGCGTTTGAATTCTACAAACCAGCTATAAATAGTCGTCTTGCATGGTGCTTTATTACCAAAAGCTTGAAGCCGAGTGAAGCTCCGCTGAGCTGTTGCGTTACATTTTAAGTCGTAGAAAATCATATGTACTACATTACGAAAATTTTCACGAGTTAAATCCATGGTGATGTAGACAACCAATTTCTAAAATGACGCCACAATGTAAAAACAAGTGACAGTCAGATGAAATAAACTGTATTCTACAGCCAAAGAGTTCCATTTTCAAATGTTGTAATTACTTTTTAAATATTGTTTATGTTAGTGGCCAGTTCCGTTGCGCCCATAGGGCGCACTATAAGTTAACAACAACAAAATGAAGAATTACATAGTGTAATTCTTCATTTTGTTAGCACGGCATAGCGTTCGCGCTTGGCTAATCTTCTTTGCGCCAATATATCTTGTTTTGATTGGACATGCCATGACGCCTGCAATGTGTATATAAGGAAATAGAAAATTGTAGAAATATTGTTATAGTCAACATTCATTTCATTATCGAAACTTTTGGTTCATTCCCGTAATCCCAAAAAGGTTACGGTAAACGACGGTAATGAAGGTGACGGAAGTGAGAAATGTATAAGTTTTGTACAATAACTCACTTGTATTTACCACTTGGGTCTACCATCTAGTATATTTAATTAACAGAAATATATGTTAATCTTTTGACTTTATAAACAATTAGATATTGCGAGTACGTACCAAATTATGTGCAATCCTGTAATGAGACTTGAACTGCTTGAAACACCTGTTTAATGACTTCGATTTCAATTTTCGGCGAGAAAGCCAACGTGAAGTCTGTCTCGCAGAATCTCAGCGACACACTAAGGTTCACAAAAGTGTTAGCGATGATCGGCTGCAAGACCTAAGGCGTTTGTTCCTCACATGAAAGTTGCAAATTTCACGTTCTGGTAATGAATTTTTTACTGTGTCAACAGTGAAACGTCGTGTAAATGTAGACTTTAATCACAGATATACAGGGTTACAGGTTAAGTCGACCTGAATCCTTTAAGGGGTAATAGTTTGCATCATTTCTGACTAATTTCACTATGAAACACCATACCCCAAACTGAACCGTTCTCATGTTATAGGACTTTGAAGTTTTTTTAAAAAAAGTCCAATTTTTTTTTATAATGTCCCATTTTTTGTGTCTTGTGCTTGTTATCATTTCGTTTTTGGTATTTTTGTGTAGTAGATTAATAGATTTA